CCCATGAAGCAGGCTCACTGCTTGCTCGCTGCCTTTGCTGAGAGCCCACTTTGTCTCTGTAATAGGTGACCATATGTTTCAAGGGGTGACTGGGCCCATTCCCAGTCCAGTCTATTCCTGGCCATTCCATCCCCCCTTGCCTGTGATTGGCTGAGGGACAGGCTTATGACCCAATTCTGGCAGAATGAAGAAATCTTTCCTCTGTTCTCAAGACCTCTGAGGGAGGGAAGCATCTCTTCTGACCTTGCGGACCTCCATTTCTCATTATGTGAGGGTGCAGGGCCTGGACCAGCTGCAGCCGCTCTGAGACCACGAGGGAAGACTTCAACAAGCAGAGAGAGAAGACAGAAGGCCCAAGGATATGCTCCCTTGGCCCAAATCAAAAGCTTTTAGTATGTGCAAGGCACTGGACTTACTGAACTTACGCAGTCAGAATGTGACGTGGCTCAGTGCTACCTCCTCTACTGCCCTGCTAGTGTGTGTATATGAATGGCAAAAACAACACAAGACAGCCGCCATCCAGTCAATACCAACTAATGGTAACTGATGTGTGTCAGAGTTAGGAGCGCGCTCCACAGGGTTTGGGAAGGCTGACCTTGGGGAAGCACATTGCCAGGCCAACGAATGAACGAAACCCAGAACTGCACTGCCCTCCGGATCTCACTGCATGAGGCAGAAGACGTCCTTATTGTTTATGACTTCATTGGTTTTAACTTTGTGACAAAAATCATCCTAACTACCTGAAGTAAGGAAAGCAGATTTCAAAGCTGCACACACAGCATTGGCCTTTAAACTGTGTATAGACATATAGGAAGACAATCTGGAAGAACAGATGTTAGGGTCTTTTTTGTAACCCTTTGATAATCGAGAACTTAAAAAATCATGATGCTTGTGTGCCTTTTCTACTTTTGTAAGAAACTCTCCGAGCACCAGGACCAGCTCCTTCCTGTTTGACCCATGTCCTCTTTCATTTTTTAACATGGGAAAACATGAGCATAGACCCAAGCTTCCCATATCTGGGGAAACTGCCAGGGGTCAACACATCCGGAGTGCAATGGATAAAGCCTCGCTCTGGGACCACCTCCATGCTCAGCCCAAGTCCTCTTGACTTGCCAGCACCTCAGAGTCCCTGACATATTCCATTCAGTGCCTTCAGCCAGGAGGAAGGTTGGGATGTGAAGAAAGGACCTTGCCAGCACTTTGCATCTCAGGGATCTGACTTGGCGGCAGGGCCACCCCTGTCAGCATCTCAACTTTGAATGGCTGCAAGGGGCTTCCATTTACCAAGGAAGAAGGGCTGTGGGAGATCAGGGTGCAATTAGCAGTGCCTGCCACAGCTCGCATCTCCCTCCCTGCCCCAGACACTAGTGTGTAGGGTGCACAGACTGGGGCTCAGAGCTGGCAGCAGTGCTAACATGGTACAGCTGGTGGGTTTGATGATGTTTAAATATGCGTGTCATTTACATATGCGAATGAGGCAATCTGTTGTGAGGGCTTGGCTCCCAGGAGCAGCGCTCATCTCTAGAAAGTGACTGTCATGATCAAGAGACACCAGGATGGGGATGGAGGATGGTGCCATCATGAACCAAACATAGCACGGGCGGGCCGGCCCTGGGGTGGCCTGAGGCGCGGACATTCACTCAGCCCACGTCCCCAACCTCAGCTGCATTCCGACCGGCCAGGACCTCAACTGCGTCCCAACCAGCCAGGACCTCAGCTCCGTTCCAACCAGGCAGGATTCCTGCCACATATTTTACTTTGAGTCAACTCTCATTTTTAAAATCACCTGAAATGATTATTAAAAGCAATTCTCTCACACTGTCAATGGACCGGCAGGATGGCTTGCCCTAAACAGAAGGTAACTCAACACCGAGCTACGATTATCCGCCTGAGGCTCGGAGCTTTCTTTGTCAGCATTAAACAGAACTTCCTTGTAGAGGTCTTGAAATTGATCCAAAGAATTAAAGATGGAATGAATCTTTCTATAATACCATTCAGCATAATTTCAGGTCTGTCATTCACGACCACGGGGCCTCCCTCCTGGAGCAGGTAGACCCGCTCCCAGGAAGCACGGCTGGGTACCTGCTTCCTCATCTGCAAAATGGGGTCCTAACAACACCTGCCCATGACGCTGTGTTAGGTGCTTCCAAGGCAGCTGACTCACAAGGACCCCACTGGACAGAGAGCTGTGACTGTCTCACAGTGTGTTCTTGGCTCTAATTGTCACAAGAGCAGACCCTCTGATCTTTCTCCCACGGATCTGCTGTGTGGACTCGAACTGCTGACCTTTTGGTTAAGCAGCTCAGCATTACCAGGGATCCTCTCCTGCCTTACAGGGTGACTGAATCAGCTACCTGAGATCAGGCATACAGAAAGTAGCAACACAATAGTGCCTGGCACAGGATCCACCTTCAAATGCTGGCAATTATTACGCGTGAGTTTCCCAGAGCAGAAAATCTGAGGCCTATGATCAAAGAATAAATGAGCTTGACAGCAATGAACGGTTGTGGTTGTTATGACTTAATTATTTGTAAAGTTGTGTGATAGATAAGATCACAGGATTTCAGAAATACCTTTCTCCTTTTGCTTTTGCTGGAAATTTCCACAGTTGGGGATAAGGGGAGGAAGGAAATAAAAAAAATGAAGGCTTTAGAAAAGTTAAGCAAAATAAATAATTCCCTATTTTAAAAAAAAGGAAGAAATGAGGCTTGAGGGAAAAGAACCAAAAAGCCCCTGCAATCCGAACTTAAAACAGAGAAGGGGACATAAAACCCCAAACACCGCATTTAACAATGGAAGACACTTTATTTAGTTTTTCATCTCTCAATTATTTCAACTGTTGGTAGAAATCAAATGCAAAACACCTGCATCTTAAAATTGGCATATAGTTAACAATCTGGATCACATCAACTTCATAACAGTAAGATACACACCAAGAAGGGACTCGGTTCCAGTCCGGTCCGTGAACACAGTATTTCCGTGATGGTATGTACATGGGACGTCTGCTCCCAGCACGAGTTCTCACCCCCGGGCTTGTTCACTGTGTGAGATACGTGGCGTCACAGTTGGCCGGGAGAGTGACTGCAATGCTGCAGGAACAGTCTGGAAATGGAAAACTACGAAACGAGAGCTCTCGGGAGCAGAACAGACATTGACGCTACTGAAATGTGGAAAGGCAGAACATCAGAAACGGAAGCCCAGGAGTGGGCGGGCTCTGTAACAAAGGGCTGAAGTTCAGTGGTATGTACACGTTGCCTATCTACAGCTGATCTCCCTGTCCTGTTCAGGACAGAGAAGAACTACCCCACTAGGGGTCCGAGACCATTACCTCGACGGGAGCAGACTGCCACATCTTTCTCCCGAAGAGTGGCTGGTGGGTTTGAACTGCTGACCCTTCAGTTAGCAGCCAAGCGTTTAGCTACTGTGCCACCAGGGCGCCTATAAGTGATCTACCAGGATAAATAAGAGAGGCATGGAAGATTCAAAAGACCTTAAAATCACTCTGGTGAGTTGAGAGAACATCAGCAAATCAACAGTGACCTCAGGACTCTTATCTGGTTGAAATCTGTTCACGATTTCAATGTCTTGATTTTGCCAGAAGACCCCTGGCATGTAAGTTCCTATGACACTGTCCATCACAAACACAGCTAAAATCTACTGTTTCCTTAGTTCACAAGGACGTTGTTCTCTTTCCAGACTCTTGCCCAGCTCCTGCCCTGCACCCCAGAGGGTCAACAACTCACAGGAGAGGCTTGGGACTGGCTGAGAAGTCGAACGGGTACAGCTCGACTCTTGTCCCTTTTTAGTGCAAAATGTTGTTGCAGATGAGTCCCAGGAAAAGGGGAGGAAAGGAGGATTGAGATGGAGGGGTAGAGGGAACCTCAAATGACTTTCCTTCTGAAACCAGACTCAAGAAGTCTGAAGTGCACGGTTTGCCCTCAGCAAGTGCCAGTGACCAGAACTGTAGGTCAGGGCAAGGTCCCCGGCCCACCACACGTCAGCAGGCGTGCAGCCTCACCTCTACGCCCGCACGCACCCTAGGTGCACGCTGGAGGTAGGTGTATGGTCATCATAGGGAAGACAGAGCAGCCTCCACCAACTCAAAAGGGACAGTGTCTCGGGTTCTGCCCTGCCTGCACTCAGCACTAGCCCCTCGGGCTACAGAGAGTGAGGAGGCCACAATGGAAAGGACGGGAGACGCTCCCTCGGAAGACAGAAGAACCCGGGCCTCTTTATAAATAGTTACATAATTCATTTTCTTAACCACTTTGAAACACGCGGCAAGTTGAATATTTATTTAAAAATAAATCTCAAAAATATCTATTTACAGTACAGTAATAGGAGCATGTGCAAACAACAGAAAGGAAAGAAGTGCCCTTCCTGCTGGGAGGGTCACATACACGGTGGGTGGACGTGAGCTGTGCTTGGCAACAGGATGACATTGGCTAATACTGGGCGTGGTGCAGCCTTTCAAGCCTGGGTGGGAAGCGAGCACTAGGAGTGGGGCTGGGGGACACACTTGGCTGGGGGGGTGGGCTGAAAAGGATGAGCCATTGGAAGAGGCCCCAGTGTGGCAGGAGGGCTCATTTCACAAGCCAACAGGCCTCTAGCTCACCACTCCAGGTGGGCATTTGGTAGTGACCTGAAGGGCCCTTCCCAGCCCAAGTTGGCTTGATGGCAAGGGGGTGGGGAGGAGTGAAGACTCCCAGAGACAGAATTCCTCTTAAAAAAAGAAATACAACTGACTAGGGAATAGAGAGATTAGCAAAAAATGATCTGAACGGAAGTGCCACCCTCTCCCTTGTCAAACGACACAGCAGCCATCAGTTGAAACATCTGAGTCAATGGTTGCTCCATGTGGTGTAGCCGGTCACGGGGCCCCTGGCACCTGCACTGGTCAAGCACGGGCCCCTGCTTCTCAGGCCAGCACGTTACTACTCTTCACCGTGAAACCAGAAAGGTCAGTGTGTAGCCCTTGTAGCAGGAAAGTGCGGTCAAGTCTATCTGTACACGAGATGGGAGAACTGGGTGGACTTGTAGTTCAGCTGGTTGTTGGGCATGAACTTGTGCAGCTCACTCTTTTTGCAGCAGGGGTCGTAATGGTAGGCGCTGAGGCAGGTGTCGCAGGAGACCTTGGAACACTGGGTGCAGGTGTTGGTGGCACCCGGGCGGTTACAGAAGCCACAGCGAGAGGTGGCTGAGGCGGAGGGCTTGGCCTTGGAGTGGAGGTGTGGTAAGCGATCAAGGCCCTGAGTCTGGCCCGTATATTTCTCCCGCAGAGCTGCCCCGTGGGCCAGGCTGTCGTGGGCGGAGGGCTTGCTGGGGATGGCGCTAGGCTTGGAGGCTGGGGGACAGGCAAGCAGGCTGTCGCAGCGCTGGCACAGGGAGGAGCTGCACGACAGGCCACAGTTTTGGCACTTGGAGAGGGCGGACTCTTTGGCGGGGGGTGTGCGCTTGTGGTAGAGGGGGTGGGCATCGTTTCGGACCAGCCACACATCTGGCCGCAAGGCATCCTGCCGACGGTACGTAGCCCTGGGCTCCGAGTCAGTGTACAAGTCCACGTCGTCCTGAGTGGAGAAGTACGTGCTGCGCAGCAGGCCAAGGCCGTTGCTGGGGGAGGAGGGCGGCAGGTCGTCTGGGCTGCCGTGTGGGGAGCTGGACATGGTCAGGAGTGAGGGGGATGGGCGGATGATCTCATCCTTGAGGTCGTCGGCCACCACAGGCTCTTTCCGCAGGCTCAACGAGGCCTTCAGAGGTGGCTTCCTGCTCTCCCAGGGGCTGTCGTAGGTGTCCACTGATCTCGAGGGTTTGGTCACGCGGGGTTTGTAGTAGTCCTTGGCCGCCCGCTCACTCGCAGACTTCTGGAGTGCCACCCTGGCCATCGAGGTGGTCAGGTGCTCCCTGCCCTCAGCCCGCCACCGTAGGGCATCCGCGCAACCACGCACATCCTCGGTGCTGGTCTTGCGCTCAGTCACGACGTCCAGTTCTGAGTAGCCCTTGTCCTTCACTTGTGAGTGGATTTCCAGCATCTGCTCACACTCCACCTTGGCCAGAAAAAGCTCAAAGGAGACCATTTTCACCTGCAGCGTCTCCACCACGTCCGCGAGCTTGTATGAAGTCCCCAGCTCAGGCACGTAGCCCATGTAATTTAGGATGGCCCGGATGTCCTCTTCCAGCAAGGTCGACTTGACGTGATAAACGAATGGGCCTGTGTAGGTCTAGGAGGAGGAAAGGGTAGAAAAGTGGGGCGGGATTCCTCTCTGAGACAGAGGCTGTGCTGGAGCAGGTGAGTGAGGGAGAGGAGAGGGTGCCCACTGGCCCCCAGCTGCAGGTGGTGACAGAAATCTCACAGCATTAATGTGAGGGTGCCAGGGGCACAAAGGCTCTGCTCTGTGCACACGGTGAATACGGGCACTGGACTGCTGATCAAATGCCCAGGGAACAGTAAAAATATTCCTCCTAGCTTCCTACAAAGGTCTGGATAAATAACATGTGGGGTGGAAGGGCCTGCCTTGGTCAATATCACACCAGTGGAGTAATCCAGAATCCTAGCCCTCTCAACGCCATCTCTTCATTCCTGCGTCACTACTCCCTCTGCATCCACACCCCCATTTCCTCTTGGCTGCTGGATGTCAGCAGCATCTCCTCACTGGCCTCCCTTCCATTCATGCCCCTCCAGTCACATCCCATCCAACACAGAAGGCCCTTCCTCACATGTAAAACAGCCACGGACTTGCTGATACTCAGCCCAAACCTCTGCCCTGGTCCAGCATGGGGCACTGTCCACCCTTCCAACCTCATGGGTGGGATACCAATAGTCAAGGTGGGAAGCCAGGAGGTCAGTCATTCTGGTGGTTCTCCCAGAGAAAGCAGGGAACCCAGAGGGTCTGAGAGAGTACAGAAGGCAGGTGACCAGAATGGCACAACCCTCCCACCCCGGGCTGGCCTGGGAGGGATGAAAGGAGAGCTAGGGGAACACTCAGAGGGCCTCACTGGCCTTACCTTGATGCTCCTGAACTCCTTTTTCCACGGGTAGAGGAAGAGGTTGACACCTACAGTCTCCAGCAGGCTGAAGGCGCAGTGCAAGGCCCGCAGGCTGGCGGAGCCCAGAGAACGCAGGGCGCGCTCCACCACCTCGTAGAATTGGATCAGCCGGAATCGATAAAAGGGGTCGACCTTGTGCAGGCTGAGCAGGGTCGAGGCTGCCACCCGTAGGTACTCATCGCTGCCTGGCCGCTGCTTGCTGGAGGGGGCGTCCACTTTGCCCTCGTGGAATTGCACATACTTCCGAAATAAGTCGTCCTTGTATTTTGTATCCATTGAACTAGGCTTCCCCATTCAGGCTGGGGAAGGGGCTACCTTATCTCCTCCATGGCGTCTGGGGTGGAGGCTGGGCCATTGCCAACGGCCCGGACATGCTGCCTGCCAGAAGCAGCGGGGCACTCTGGAAGGGAGAAAACAAGAGCCGCGTCATCCCTCGAAACAGTGACCGCGCCTGACTGTCGAGGCTCAGCAGCGAACAGGACTGGCCGCTCTCATGGGCTCCAGAAGCCCAGCTCCTGTCTATTCAATCAGCACAGTCACCAGACACGCGCTACGTACAGGGTAGAGTGGAAACCGGTCTAGGAAGGTCCTCGACTTGAGCTCATAATTAAAACTGTGATTAATGTTCTCGAAGAAACCATTCTGGGTGTGTAGAAAGACACCTCATCAGGTTTTACGGGGAGAAGGGAGAATGGTGAAAGGCTCCCCCAGGCAGGGATTTTTCAGTTAGACCTGAAGAACAAGGAGTCTGCCAGGAAAGAGGCAGGCAAACGGAGTGCCAGAGCAGAAGCATCAGCAAGAAGCAAGACTCCAACTGAGCAAACACTTCGAGAGCGCTTCCTGCAAGCTCGGTGCTCTACGCACGACCTCCTTTAATCTTCCTCTAAACTAGGAGGCAGATACCAATCGTATTTCTGTCCGCGTCACCGTACAATCCACTGCAAATGAATCCATTCTGACTTAGGGCGACCCTACAGGACACAGCAGGACTGCTCCACAGGGTTTCCAGCCTGCAATCTTCATAGGAGCCGAATGACATAGCTTCCTCCTATGTATCAGCTGGTAGAGTAGAACTACCAACCTTCTGGTTAGCAGTCAAGTGTTTTAACCATTGCATAGAACTCCCAATCCCCATCACACAGATGTAAAAACTGATACCCAGAGACATTAACTTGCTCAGGGTTTCAGAGCTGTTTTGAGATAGAGGCCAGGCTGTCTGGCATCCAAGTGCATGTGGGTACCCAGTACACTCGGCTTTCCCAGGGAGCAGTCAGCATGGCTGATGGCGAGGGAGCAGCTGGGAGGGCCATGCCAGTCGTTAGCATGATCCTGCCTCCTGAGGTCAAATCGCCATGTCATCACATCAGTGAGGACTACAAAGCAAGGAGAGGGCAGATCACATGTAAATTGTAAAGAGATGCTCCCCCACAGTGCTTTTCAGCACCATGGCATGCTAGCATTCGGTCGGCTGGACTAGGAGACCATTCTAACCCCCGCCGTGAGGGCAGGATGGAGTCTTCCAAGCAAGACACACAGCATTTATATCATCCTGTCAGTTGAGCTACTTGTTAATAAGACACATACTGTTACTAGGACACATACAGCCACTGTGCTCAAGTCAGTTTCCATTTCTAGCACAGGAGCCACAGACACAAGATTTAAAGCCTGAGTGTGGAACCTCAATTGTGGAGCCACAATTTCTGCAAGACTTCAGGGTCATCACGATGGCTCAGGGCCACCTTCTCTGACCCTGCTGAGCTGTCAAGGGAGCCCTAATGCTTCCGGCAAGAAACACAGGAAGGAGACACCAGCCTAAGGACACAGGTCCTTCTCCTGACAATTGCCCCCTTCTCACAATAGCCTCTCCCTCACTCCACCCACACGGGCCAACGTCTGCTCTTCAACTCAAACCTGTCAAGTTCTTATCTAGCTCAGGACCTTGGCATGTGCTGTTTCCTCTGCCTGGCATGTTCTTTATCTGATTTATCAGAGAGCTAGATTACTCTCGTCAAATTTAGCCTCTGCTCAAATGTCACCTCTCAGAGTCCTCCCTTGGTCACTCCTGGTAAAGTAACTCATACCTTCCCAGTCCTTTGTGAACTCATTATACCGGGAACTGTTGTTATGTGTCGTCAAGTCGCTTGTGGCTCATAGCGACCCTATGTACAGAAGCTCTGAACCCTGCTCTATCCTGAACCAACCTTACTGTCTCTGACACACCTACCCCCATTACCCTAGTCCCTGAAACCAATCCATCTCATGGAGGGTCCCCCTCTCTTGCACTGTTCCTCCACTCCCCCAGTATGATGTCCCTCTCCAAAGACACATCACTCTTTGCAAAATGCCCACAGTATGCCAGACAAAGCTTCAAGAATCCTTACCTCCAAGGACCGTCCTGGTTTCACCCCCTCTAGGATGAACCTGTTTGTTCTCGTAGCATTCAACACTATTCTCCAGCACCACAGCTCAAAGGCATCAATTCTCCTTCTATCATCCATAATCACTGTCTAGCTTTCTGATGGATAGCAAGTAATTGCAAAGATGATGGCATGGACCGTCTCCAGACTACCATCATTGCTCTTCAGTACTTTGGAGAGGTCCCTGACAGCAGATTTTCCCAATGCAATTTGTCTTTTGGTTTTCTGGCTGCTGGTACCAAGAGTGTTGATTGTGAAGCCAAGCAAACTGAAACTATTAGCAATCTCAATCTCTTCACCAGTAATCATGATGCTGCCATTCAGCCCAATGGTGAGCATCTTTTCTTTTATTCATTCATTTACTGGCAGGTTACTAGCAAGCTTTTCCCCATGTGTATCTTTAGGTTGCATTTGCAGGTAGTCGGAACAGGTGCATAAGCATAAGGTTCTTATCAAGCCAAATTTTGGTGCAAAAAAAGGCTCAACAATTTTATAAGGCTAGGGGAGCTCTGGTGGCCTAGTGGCAAGGAGCTGCAACTACAATCCCAGAGGCGCACAGTTCGAATCCACCAGATGCTCTGCCGGGGAAGGAGGGGCAATCTCCTCCTGTACCAGTCAGATCTGATTTGATGGTACACGCACACAAAAATAATAAAATAAAAAAATATTTAAAAAAAAAAAGAAAGAAAAAAAAGGCTCTTAAAAGTGGCAAATGCAAGTGACTGTGGTGAAGAATCATTGTTTCCAAGGGTTGGTTCAATCATTTCAAAGCAGTGAGAGTAAACAGACTTTAAGGGTAAGCCAGCTGTTTGTAACCAGGGTGGGGAGGGGTGGGGACAGCCTATCCTAGCTTCCCATCTTCCCTATTACCTGCTAAATTCCACAAAAGCAAGGATTATATCTAATCTTGTTCACTAGAAGGCCTGGCAGTGTAGCCGTGCTTGATAAAACTGGTAAAGAGAATAGCACCCACAGGTCCCTCTTCGGGTCCCCCACCCATGTCCCCAGGCCACAGAAAGGCACAGAGGCTCTAAGGATGGCATGATGGGTGGTGAAGAACTAGGGCTTAGTCAAAAAGAGTTCCAAGGGTACAAGACTGGCCTTCTGACTTGAAACACACACTCCTGCCGTCATGCCATGACTGCTGTGGAGAACACGTAAGTATGCAGCATCCGTTTGCCAGGCCCTGAGCTGGGGGCAGGAGATGAGAAGGTGAGAGTAGGGCACAGCGCTAAGGGCAGAGTCCTGCCCTCAATTCTAGGTCGAAAAGCTAGTGCTCAATCCCATGTGCTCTTTGGAAGAAACAAACAAAGATGCACCACAACCCAAAAGATGCTCACTGCTTTCCTTACTGAATGAAGGCCCACAGCGTCCACCACTTTTCGTTTATCTGAGGTTTCCATCCTGCCTCTGGCCCCAGGGACTCTTTTGAAAGCCATTTATTTAAGCAGAAGGCCATCAAACTTCCCAGCACTGCCTCATTTCTTCTCCGTACAAGGGAGGGAGCCTTGGACCTGAGGGGCTGGGTTTTCCTAGTTAGCCACCCTCAAGTCAGCTCTTCAGGTCAACATCTTCAGTCCACATCCCTGTCTGTTGCCTCCAAACAGCCCAGCTGGTGTTCCGAATCCTAAAATCACTAAATGAAATGCATCTAAGAATCCTTTTCTATTTTTTTTATTTTATTTTTATTATTTTTGTGTGGGTGTACCATCAAATCAGATCTGACTGGTACAGGAGGAGATTGTCCCTCCTTGCCCGGCAGAGCATCTGGTGGATTCGAACCGTTCGCCTCTGGGATTGTAGTTGCAGCTCCTTGCCACTAGGCCACGAGAGCTCCCCTGCATCTAAGAATCCTGACCCAACCTATGTAGGCCAGGCCTAAAATAAAATAGGAAAAGTGGAAGGTGAGTGCTAGTAAGTAATTAAGAAAGGGAGAGAGAAACTAACAATTGCAGAGGTGCCATGAGTTAACAATGGACAGTCCCCTTGAAATGCGTCATCTCGTGTAAGCCTCACGACAAAGAAGAAACCAAGGCTTGGCCATGAAGCAACCTATCCAAGCTGACAGAGCTTGAAAGGGTCAAGCTGGGGTGGGAGCACGGCTTCCACTGTCAATCAGCTGTGCGGCATACCTTCAAGGTTACTGCAGGTCCAGGTCCAGACATTCACAATAAACCAAATAGTGACATAAATGACTTTTGGATTTCTGGGGCAGGTCAAAGTTATGTTTACACTATATTGTAATCTATTAGGAAGTGTGCAACAGCATTAGGAAAAACTTGAACTATTTTGAGAATCATCAAATATGACAGACATGGAGTCCTCACTAACGGAAAAATGGTACCAATAGGCTTGTTCAACATAGAGTTGCCAAATCCTAAATTTGTTGCAATGTCTGCTGAGCACAATAAAATAAATTACATCTGGATTATTACAATTAATAATTAGCATGGCGCTCTGGTGGCCTAGTGGTAAGAAGCTGCGCTGCAATCCCAAAGGCACATGGTTTGAGGCCTCCCGCGGCTCTGCCGATGGATGGGCTATCTCCTCTCGTGTGATTAACTAACTGCCTCTGAAAACCCACCAGAGGGTCAACTATGCGTTGGTTCCAACTGGATGGTACACAACCACCACCACCACCACCTCTATGTACCAAGGGAGCTCTGGTAGCCTAGTGGCAGGAAGAAGCTGTACTGCAATCCCAAAGGCATATGGTTCAAATCTCCACAGAAGAATGGGCAATCTCCTCCCATGTGATTTACTGCGTCTGAAAACCCGCTGGAGGCCCAGCTATGGGTTGGTTCTGACTCAATGGCACACCACCACCACATCAAGCATGCACCAAGAGGTTAGTATGTGAGGGACCTCTGCTAAGTGCTCTAGGAAAATCAACCTAACTCTTATGAC